GTTCAAAACAATGTCATTCAGTGAGAAAACCTTGACCACTGCCGATGATGACTAATTTAGATGATGCGCCTGACTCTGTTTTGTTAGTAAAAATCAATACATTTTCTGTAAATATATAAATGTGTCGTTAGTAAACAGTAATTGAATGATCCGGTGTGTTTTTTCTCGTCCCAGAGTTTATGGTTGACTCGGGAAGTGATGTGGTGACGGCCCGCCAGGAGGTGCTGGACCAATTAGACTTGGAACTAATCGGTTCCATCGAAAGTAAAGGTGTGCACGCCACGGTGGAAAAACAGCTTTACAAAGCAGTGTTGGGGATTGGTCAAATCGATATCTCGATTGAGGTAGGTACAACTCTGAAGCTGAATAACACTGATTTATGCGTGGAATGAGCTATGTGTAGTATTACAAAAATTACCGGTATGGCACCAATGTCACTACCGCAATAACTGTACAAATAGCAATATTGAATTTCAATATAACATGAAAATATGACTTCACCTCTCGCTCTCCCAATTAGAAAACTGCGTTGGGGGATGGTATCAACAACGACGACGTTGTCGTGATTTGAAAGAATTTCGGAAAATAGGAATAAAATATTCATGAAGATCGACGATTCGTGATATTCTATGTATCTACAAAATTAAGTTGACCATTATTGGGAGGACGCAGGATGCAGTTGAGGCTACACTATAGGTGACGTAGGTCGATGTGTATACATATAACCATTAGAAATAATGGAACATCCCTAATATTCAAGATGTTCCGTTTTTAAAACAGTAATATTAATATAATTTGTATTTGCACAGGTTATGGCACAGTCATACGATTCAATTGGAAACAGGGTACTGAGACACTTCCGCCATTTCATCGACTCGAAGCGGCACATCTGGCTGAAGGGTGACAAACTGGATACATCATCACCTTTCCCTATCGGCGCTTCTCTTTCGAGCTCCCGGAGCGCTGGGCCGTCAACTTCTGCCAAGGAGATGTCAGAAGAACTCATACCGCCACTTAGCCGGGAAGAATCGACGATGTCGACCACACAAGCTAGCGAGAGTACGAAAGAACACAAACAAAGCCAACAAAAAAACTGAGCACGAATTTTGACGATGGATATAATCAAATTATAACTTAAATATATTTATATGTTTTGTAAATAGATTTTATTGTAAATATATTTTTAACAGTGACACTATTTTCTAGTTTTTAGATAATAAATACTGTATAACTATTAATATTCGCATCGGAATGTGTGTTGATACATAAAGGAACAATTTAGGCTTGGTTATGATTTTATAAACGATTATTTATTCACCTATGTTGTGCCCATCGAGGTTCAGTGCTTGGACCGTTGTTATTTACTATGCACGCATGCCTCCTCCCACACGGTTTAATTGTATCAACTTTACGAAGCTACGCCAAATCTTCGCCGGCGCAACGATCCTGGTAATTTGACTACTTAATGTATTTAAGATGCATCTGATTCAGATTCATTTCGATTTTTAGGTTTAGTTCACTCTACCGAAAAATGTCAGTGGTATATGAGAGACAGAGAGAGTGAGTGAGAGATTGGGGCAACCAGGGCAGACCACGTAATAATAGTATGATGTCACCAAACTAGTAAATTTTGGAGTTACGGACGACTGAGCTTGTCATCATTAACGCCGACAGCTGTGCCCTAACCGGTTGAACACTTCTACTTTCAATAATGGAGGTAAAAGGCTGTCATCCAATTATTGTGAATAAATGAAATCGCCCAGTGATATAGTTCAGTCGAATTTTATTTAAACAATTTATTTTACACCCGTTGTAAACATCGCATGGAACAAGACACGATGCGTCGAATGTGGCGATTTAATTGAATTATGTGTCAATGTTTTACAAAACTCAGGATATTGTGACCGCAAATCTTCGTCAATGACTCATGTAAAAATAACCTGCTTTTGTTTGTGTTCCAAATAAATAAAAAGTTTTTGACACAATAATTCGAAAATCAAATGTTAATTTACATTTATTAATTTAATTTAAATCAAAGTCGAAATATTACCACCAACACAACGTATATAATTTGATATCATACAAAATATTGACCCTTAAAAGTAAAAGATAAAACAAATAGGTCTCCATACTAATAAATCTAGTACTTAATATTTACTGCGTAACGTATTTTTTTCACGAAAACATTTGCATATAACGGATGTGAATTTGTTATACAATTTTAATATTTAGATTTGTTTGATTCCTCTCACAGATCAAAACGCATTTTGTTGACTTTCAAGGTTTATTTTGAGTTACAGGTGTTGAATACACTTCCGTGAAGACTGAACAATTCAGACTCCTATTAGGCTAAAAAACACCAGTTACCGCCATACTTCTTCCATACTGTGGCGTATAGATATATCTAGTTTGACGGTTGCTATAGAGACCAACGTTGGAATAAAATAAAAGCAGTAGTTGGGACTGAATTCCACAGTGAAACATTTCGAGTTTGTGAACTATTCTTATTATGTGGTATCAGTGAAGCATTAGACATTATATAGACTAATTGTTAAAAATGAACATGCCATTATTATTTTTCTACATGCTGGAACAGCTTTCATATAGTTGCTAGGCTACCAGGCACGGGATGGTATCCATTTTGTATTCAGAGCCGGTTACAGTAATGCATTTCGTTTTTTACTTTATTTCTTTCACGTCCGTCCAGCCCGACACTTTTTCACAGCTTTTGCCATATTTTAAGCTTACATATACAGAAGAGTTAGTTGAACTACGAACTGCAATTTTTTTAAAAATAAATCCCGTTGTTAATGCGAACTAATATACATACACTATGGAACGTGATCAAAACTCGTCCAATATTTACTTTCGCAGTAAACCATGTATGTGTATCCTTCTATACGATATCAGCACATACATCGATATACTTCCTGGAAAGTCCAACTACGAATGTTCTTCAAATATGCATGGAATCACTCGACTGATTCATATTGTGAAATGTGTCCGGTAAAAAAAAAATCGTTGCGTTTATAAAATAGAAACTGTATTAACCGACCAAACCTGAGAATTTGGCAGTCTAATGCACATGTGATGACGATCTGCCACGCATCACACCAGTCTTATCCAATAGACGAGGGAAATCGACAACGTTGCAAACCGAAATTGTAGATTAACATACTTAATATGCGCATAGTTACCCTGTATACATACACACATCATGGAAGGTACCTTCCATACACACATGGACACCAACATTGCGAACATGGGCTGTAGTACGTAATGTGTCACGTGGTGTCACGTGACGATTACATATAGTGGTCGTGGCTACCAGACGAGCATGTATTCGTAGTACAAAAAGTAATAGTACTTACTGAAAGTCGCCATTTCAACATTTTGTCTTACTGCTAACGGAGATAGATCTGAAACCTTCGGTACCTTTTTATATAACATATACGGCCACGTACTATATTATAGTATACACCCTCGCGCCGAAAAAGAGCACCGTTATTTTATAGGTAAAGATCACATGACACGCTAATCTGTAACAATTGGCGTGTAATTATTCGAACGTCAATTAACTATGTATTTTAACGAAAAAAAAACACCATCTGAAACATCCCACGTGTCACTTTTAAGTCAATCAGGTCACGGACAGCTGTTTCCCATATTGCTTCACTACACACGTATTTGACCAATGTCAAATAGTGAAAATATGTTACGGTGTACAAGGCTGCGTGCATCGATCATGCAGCTGGCTGTTTATATAACCTTTTGGAATATTATATGTATGTATAGGCAGTTTTTTTTTATGAATCATTTCCAATTGTCATCATTATTTTCACGAAAAATAATTTGTAAAAAGCTGAATGCAATGTCGACACAGTTTACTTATACTAGTATCCCAAAGCGCGTTGGGCATTTTCACTAAAAATGATAATATTGTCACGTGATGATATTGTCCTCAGAAAACAAAAACCTATGAATGAATGAATGATTGATACTTTTTATAATATTATATGTTCGATGTAGGCGACTGCTACTGTTATTTTTATATGTTGTCAGCATTTCGCGGCTGTGCTGTTTTTCTATGTTGGCGACATTAGCTCACAATCGGTAACCTCGACTGGTGCTGGTGTTTATTCTACCACGATGCTTGTTGATATTTTAATTCAAGTACTTGTACCCCGTGTTCACTATAGAAAAAAGGCAAAATTGTTAACCGTTACCCTGATTTTCGACAGAGGGCGCTCATACCCATCGCAACGTGGCCACAGTCCGAGAGAACGAATTTGCGAATTACCTCGTTTTTTCCCGGTGTATTTGCTTTCTATGGTTCATTACCATTGTATGTATGTATGACCCCTTATTAATAAACTTGGAAATGATAACTGTTTATGTTACGTTGGTTTGAATGTACCGGTAGTTGTTGATTTATATGTTTTTATACTATCAATTTGAACTTGATTTTAATTTATTACTTGAATATTAACTATTTGATTCCGAATATGGTCAACTACATGATTACCGGGTTGCAATCAATGCATCACGTGTTTTGTCTGAAAACAATTGCTCGTCAGGACAATAGAGATTAGTCAATCACATTTAAACCGATGAATGAACTTGATTCATCAACGCGCACAGTAAACACACTCACAGCTCCACCATACGGATTTGCAACAAAAATGTATACACGGTGGCCCGTTATATTCCTGTATTAAATGTGAATCATGTTAGAGTGTTGGCGGTTGGAGTGTTTCGCGTGACGATGATCTTTCCGTGCACAGCTGCATGGCCCGACACGGAGTACGCCGAGTATCAAAGCACTTATAACACCGCCACGTCTAGGGGTTTAACAGTGATACCTCTCATACCCACAATACTCGGTAATAATCAGCGTATTTAAGAATCTCACTGAATAATTTTGACGGCGAAAACGCACATGATGGTAGAATAAAATAATTGTACAGTGATCGTGTTTTTTTTTTAAATTATAATTTAAGAACTTATTATTAATTATTCGCCATTTCTCAGCAGTAAATACTATTTCACGATAAATTGTTGATACAAACGTATATAGATATAATTTTAGAGCGATCTAGCTATATATAACTGTTGAAATATTCTAACTATATTTCGAGTTATAATTTTACTGGTAGCAGACGGTGGTTAGAATTACTCACAAAAGCGCTAAAACAAATCAATGTCGATTTCAATTATGCAATGCAAATTACAATTTTAGAGAAACAGACACGATAAAGAAATGTATTAAACACTTACTTCAACCTTCGTCTTCAGTGCTGACTGTATACCTGCCATCATAGTATAGAATCAAATATCGAACACCTATAGCAAATGTTGTTTTATGCCAGAGAGAGGGTTTCTCAGTGCGTAACTCCGAACTTTGCGATTGCGACTGATGGATGTTGGGTATATATCAGATCATTCCGTGGCAGGGTAACATCCTGTCTTAATCCGGTGACGTGTGAGCCTCCACACAACATGACGCGCCGTTTTTAGGCGTTCATGCACAGCTAATGCAACTGTAGGTTTTTAGACAGAAACAATAAATCCCACAAATAATTTTAGTTTTAAGTATTCGTGATTGCCGTGCATGATCGTTCATGAAATGTAGTTTTGATCATCCCGACTAGCCACTACGTATACCCGGCGCGCATGTTCTGGCATCTTTATTTTTAGCCATATTGTTATATATGAAATGTGAATCATACATTTCCACAGATACCATGTCGTTGTCGGATTTCACCAATGGTGTTATGTAGCAAATTGTTTTTACAAATAAATATTAATAATGTATAGACATATATATGCAGTAACAGATAAATAAATAAATAAATAAATAAATAAATAAATAAATAAATAAATACATAAATAAATAAATAAATAAATAAATAAATAAATAAATAAATAAATAAATAAATGAATGAATGAATGAATGAATGAATGAATGAATGAATGAATGAATGAATGAATAAATAAATAAATAAATAAATAAATAAATAAATAAATAAATAAATAAATAAATAAATAAATAAATAAATAAACCAATCAATAAATAAATAAAACCAATCAATAAACCAATCAAATTAACTAATCAATTAAAGGGGCACCTTCCAGTTAAGATTAATTTCACAACAAATTTACTTTCTAGATTAAAATAACAATGGATAACAAAAGATAGATTAACATTGTAAACAACATAAACAATAGTGTCCCATGA